TGCCTCACCAACCAACACCTCCACACCTAGCTCTCCCAACTGTGCTCCAACACAACACTTTGGAAACAACAACAAGAACTTATATGAAAACTCAAATTATTATTCTTACGAGAGGGTTGTACCTCGTCTTCTTTTAATTCTAGAATCATTTTGGGAAAAAAGGAGAGATTCCTTATGATTATAAGTAAGGGGGGGGGGAGTGTAGAACGAGACACAGAGGAGAGAGAAAAATAGGAGGAGGAGGTGGAAGTAAAGGAAGAGGAGTAGGAGTAGCGGTAAGAGCAAGAATAGAAGCAGGAGAAGGAGAAAGAGAAGGAAAACGAGGAGGAGGAGGAGGAAATAGGAGGAGAAGGAGAGGGAGGAGAAGGAGAAGAAGGAGAAGGAGAAGGAGAAGGAGGAGAAGGAGAAGAAGAAGAAGAAGGAGACGATGAAGAAGAGAATCATAAGCTGATTCCGGCCCATAACCTTTGCTCTTTGACTTCTTCATTGGTCCGAAAACAAGGTAAAGTCCCTTAACCTAATGCGATTGTCCGCGATTTCTCGTCTTCTCTGTACTTCTTCCACGTCGCTGCTAAAGTTGCTAAATTAATAAGGATATAATCCCCATCTTGTCTTACCTTAAATCAATGTCCAAGTCATTATGGATGGCAAAGTTTGTATGTGAACCACGCCTCAAGCTGCCAGACGCACGACTAACACGTGACGCATTTTCCCCTCCCCCATTTTTTCCCCATCTCCAACCGAGCCCGATACGAAGGAACCTTAAACAATATCGGAGTTACATTTGTATTTCACAAGCGTTTTTTGATACGGTCGTCTGGCGGGCTGAGCACACGCCGCAACGGCCGCCCGATAGCACACAAGGAGCAGATAAATATTATCCTTGGAGAGCGCCGGCAGTCCCAGGCGCAAGGGGTTGGGATGATCAGCATCGTACTGCACCTGTTGCAACCCCGACCTGCTTACATGGCGTGTATGTGTGTGCGTATGTGTGTATGTGTGTGTCTGCCGTGTACGGAAATGCTATGCTCCACACACTCACACACGCACACACATACACATAAGCTCACACGCGCGCCCTGCCGGTAAAGCTCACTCTTACCTCTTGTTCGTAGTTATTGGTGTGTGAAGTCGTTAGACTCGTTGGGCGTGCGCGAATTTTACAAGAAGAGAAAAAATATATATGTACGAAAATGATTAAGGCTTATCGCATTTGACAAGAGGAAAATATAAAAATATCAAAAGAGTCCACTTCTCACCCATCGATTTATCTACTTATTTACGTATTTAACTATTTCTACGGGCGTTTCGACCATCAGCAACGGTACTAAATTCTCTCCTCACCCTACCGTCGAAAATCCCAAGCCTGGAGGCGCACGAGAGGGACAGCCAAGTCATCCTTAAAATCAAAAGAAGACGAACGCACCCCATACAAAAAGGGGAAAGGGGGGGGGCGGTAAGACGCTCCTTTAGTGAATACCCCAAGCCCCCTCCCCCTACCCCCTCCTCTTCCCCTTTCCCCCCACCCACCTTTTTCCTTCCTTGACTTGACAGCTGGGACGAATGGATACAGACGAAAAAGAAAATCGTCTCCGTACACCTGGGATGATTGTAGATATTTAATCATCGTTCAACCATTTTTTTTGTCTCTCTCTCTCTCTCTCTCTCTCTCTCTCTCTCTCTCTCTCTCTCTCTCTCTCTCTCTCTCTTTCTCTCTCTCTCTCTCCTGACTCGTAGACGCGCCTTCAGAAACACACATCTCCTTACACACCCATACACAAACTAAATATCAAACTCATCTTTCACAGAAAAACAACAACAAAAAACACATACATCGCCCACCCACACCCACATACAGACACATATACCCCTCTATATATACACATACAAACAAACACAGACACAAACACACAAATACACAGACATAGACAAAAAGCCTGCAGCTGCTGATAACGTAACTCTGGCATTCACCACTTGAGGTACAGAGGTCACACGTGCACACTGCGTCTTTAAATTCGGGTTTGTGGGGAAGGAGGGTGGGAGGGGGGGGACCAGCTTCCGTACCCCCCCCCCCCCCGTCCCTCTTCCCGTACTTGAGGTAACGAAATTGGTGAGATAGATTATACAAGCGATAAAGAACGTGGCATCGGCAACAACACGGGATAAAAAAGGGGAAAGTTACCAATTAGCAAGACCCGGAAAAATGGATGATAAACAAACGCGCTTGAATCTGTATAGAGCATTTTGGTATTTCTTGAGTAGCGGAAGTCTGTATAGCTTAAGTTTTACGTTACTTTGGCAATGAATTCTGAATACGATTTTAGTCACTTCGCTCTGACTCGCATTTATTTCTTGGTCACGTTATTCTGAATGCAATTTGGTTACTTTACGCGGTTGTAGTTTTGTGTTTCTTCGTCAAGGAAATCTAAATACGATTTAGTTACTTCACGCTGACAGTCTCCTATTTCTTCGTCAAGAAATTCTGAATAGGATTAAGTTACTGAAGTAGTCTTGTTTCTTTCTCACGGAATTCTGAATACGATCTAGTCACTTTGCTCTGATGTAGCGCCGTTAATACTTTGTTACTGAATACTGAATACAAAATAGATTATTCTTTTTTTTTTTGTAAAATGTCAGAAGAGGTCACGGTTTATATAATCAGCTCAAAAGACACGACTGAACACTTATTTATATATATTTTCGGCCTTACGCATAGCTCTTTAAATGTCACGCTTCTGAATATCATATCACACTGGATTAGAACGTTAATAGTAGTACCAAGATTAGATGTGTAATTATAGTATGCAGGATCTGTACTGAGGATTCAAGTAATGGGAAATATCAGTAATATTTAATGAAATTTAAACTTAAGTAATCGTAGTAATAATAATGATGGTGGTGGTGGTGATTATGAAGAAGATGAAGATGAAGATGAAGATGAAGATGAAGATGAAGATGAAGTGATAATGATGATGATGATGATGATGATGATGATGATGATGATAGTGATAATGATATTGATAGTGATGGTGATGATGTCAGCAACGAATTAATAAAAGCGCTGATAATGATATATGAAAACAAAAGAAAAAAAATATATTTAAGCCCGTGGTCTCTGAGCAGCACATGGCGGCCGCGGGAACATGGCCGGTGATGCTGTTAACGCCATATGTTTTTGCGCCGTTCAACGAAGAGCACATCTTTAGGGTTTTCTCAGTTCGAAAACGGCAAGAAATGTTTATAAAGTTCTTTTCTGGATATTCATTGGTATAAGTTTCTTGGGTAAAATACACACACACACACACACACACACACACACACACACACACACACACACACACACATATTTATCACATCATCGTTCCATAAATATAAACCAATATAAGAACACCAACAAAAGAGAAAAGAAAAAAAAAATTGAAGAAGAAAAAGAAAAAAACATAAAAAAGAAAAAGAAGAAAAAGAAGAAGAAGAAGAAGAAAAGAAAAAGAAAAGAAGAAAAAGAAGAAAAAAGAAGAAGAAGAAGAAGAAAGAAGAAGAAGAAGACAAAAGAAAAGCCACCAGCACATAACTTAAGGATGTCACAAGTCTCGTAGGATATTGAAGAGAGCATCGAGGCGCGTTCAGCAAGGAATCAATCGAGGGTCACGTGATGCAAATAACCATGCTTCCAACACACACTGAAGGGAAATGTTCTTTTTCCGGGGAGGCAATTTCATAACCGATGTCGTGGGCGTGATTGGGCGCGTGTGGGAGGTTTTGTGTGTGTGTTTGTGTTTGTGTTTGTGTGTGTTTGTGTGTGTTTGTGTGTGCTTGTGTTTGTGTGTGTGTTTGTGTTTGTGTGTGTGTGTTTTTTTTTTTTTTTTGTGCGTGTGTGTGTGTGTGTGTGTGTGTGTTTGAGTGTTTGTGTGTGTGTGTGCTTCTGTGTCTGTATGAATATAAGCATGAACATTTTGAATACGAAACAGTGAACATAGAGGAACAGTGAAACGTAGAAAAAAAAAATCATATACGGATACACGTGAATAACTACCATAACTACCGCATATCCGCCAACATATCTGTCTACATGTTCAGCAAAGTTAATTCAGCAAACAACACTTCGCTACCGGCCCCTTCCTTCCAAGACATGCTACGCTAATTTGGGAAAATGTTAAAATACCAAACAGCCACTTTGGAGAAATTAACTATATGGCAGAGAGGGGGCAGGCTCAGGCAAACACTGGTTCTATTAATTCAAATGATGCAATTTCACTCTTAATTGTGCTCACTGTTTCTTTTTTTAGGAAATTGTGGTTAGACTTGTACGAGTTAACTGCCTAACTAGATAATTTGGTAAGCTACTGTAACAGTTATACCTAAATAGGCTAAATGTACACGCACATACAATAGTCATTTATTACAATCACACACACACACACACACACACACACACACACACACACACACACACACACACACACACACACACACACACACACACACACACACACACACAATATATCAACAAGTATGTATGCATGTATATGCATACTTCTGCGTTTATAAACACGCATACATAAACATTTCTGCGTGTGTCTATACATGCATAGTGTATACTAGGTGAAAATATATGTATCTGTATGTATACTGTATATGGCTATGTCTATGTTTAGCGCACAGACACACACACTGTATTTGTCCCTGTATAACTATCAAATACACATTTATCTATTTGGATAGCTAACGAAATGCAAAACGACAAATCCTATAATGCAACACTAATTACAGCTCTCTATATCAAAACTGGTTGTTTAGAGGAAAAAATATAATCATCCTCATCGCAAGCAAACACAACAACAACCGGAAACAAAAACAAAGAAAGGAAAACACACACGCGCACGCACACACACACACACGACACAGAAGCGATTCACAGAAGAACAAAACACAACACGTACGGCCAAGCGGAGAAACACAGCCACAGCATGAGTCTGCGAGAGCACGAAACACGAACACACCTTTACCGTTCGAGCACACCTGCCCCGGCGTCCCGTGGATGCCGTGCCCGCGTCTTTTGTACTGTTATGAGTCAAAGCTTTGTCTTTTCATTTCCAGTTTTTTTTTTCTTTCTTTCTTTCTCTCTCTCTCTTTTATATCTCCCTCCCTCTCTTATTCTCTCATCTCTCTCTTTCTCTCGATCTCTTATTTGTAGATTTGTTTGTTTTTTCTTCTTCTCTCGTTCGTCAGCACAACTTCACCTTCACTTCGCCGGCTGCAGCGTTCGCATAGCGCATATCCGTTCGTGTACTTTTAACTTGCGCTCGCTGTTGTCGTGTTCGGTGGTTCACTTTTCGTTGCGCATTTTTCCCTTCTCCTTCCCCTGCCTTTGGCGTGCTCCTTCCAGAGTCCGTGTGTGAGGGCCGCCTTTGTCGAGGGGCGTGGAGAAGAAGAGAAAAAGGGAGGAGGAGGAGGAGGAGGACGAGAGGAAGGATGTGGGAGAGGAAGGGGAGCAGGAGATGGAGGAGGAGGAAGAACTGAAGTTGTTCACATTACTTCCACGTCGCACAGAATTTTAAAATCCTCTTTACCTCTCTGCCAAGCTCTCGTTCTCTCTCTTACTCAATTCTCTTCATCTCCCATTCTCTCTACTTTTATCTGAATCCACTCTTGTTATCCGGTGTTACGCCATTACCCGGCAAATCACCTGAAGGCGAGTTAAAGTTGCGCGGTTATTTAGGATGTTGTGTTTGGTGTCGGATCCTGCCTCTCTCACATGTCGCTAATATAACTGCATCCAACTCTCACTCTCTCTCTCTCTCTCTCTCTCTCTCTCTCTCTCTCTCTCTCTCTCTCTCTCTCTCTCTCTCTCTCTCTCTCTCTCTCTCTCTCTCTCTCTTTGTGTATGTATTTGTTTCTATCTGCCTCTCCTCCGCCCTCCCTTCTGCATGTCTCCTCAAAGTTGGTGTTTGTGTTTGTAGAGGCGAAAGCAACAGCCATTCGCCGAGAGCTTCTTATCGTTTCCTCCTATTCGCGGCGAGTGTGCCCGCCCTCTCCCCCCTCCCCCTCCCCCTCTCTCTCTCCCTCTGCACCACGCTTACCCGCTCACCACCTCTGGTTGGCCAGCCCTCGGCAGCAGATTTTCAAAATGGCGGAAGGTCGGGACTTCAACGTTATTCACTTTGTTGCCTTGTCGAGTGGCTGGATGTGAATGCTTTCTACCATAATTCGAATGTTTTGCTATAAAATGTGTTTTTTTGTATATCTTCCTTCTGCGTTTGGCTTAAATCATAGCGATGGGCCTTTGGGAAGAACACACGAAATTGGCGGCGGGTTTGAGTCACTGTTGACACGCCGATGACGTGCACGAAACTTAGGTCACCTCAAGACGTCGCTGCGGCTAAGTCAGACATGAAGGGAAACAAAGTCTCACTTACCGCAAAACAAAATTCAAGAAAACGCGCGAACTTTACAGACAAAGACATGTAGATACACGTTGCCTTCCTTCTGTTACAACTTAAAAAAGGTGCAGAGGAGAGCAGCCGTAAGTACCACCTTCGCGGGGAGTGGTGGCACACTGGCTCTACACTTTGCCCTCTTGGCCTTTTGCCTACTCCTACCTCGCACACCTTGTCTGTGTAGCGGACCTCCCCAGACTGAGGGGAGTCGCCCCTTCTGAGGCCAACCCACCTCCACGTCAAGGTGGGGGAGAGGGAGGAGGAGGGACGAGGGTTATTCACTTTGTTGCCTTGTCGAGTGGCTGGATGTGAATGCTTTCTACCATAATTCGAATGTTTTGCTATAAAATGTGTTTTTTTGTATATCTTCCTTCTGCGTTTGGCTTAAATCATAGCGATGGGCCTTTGGGAAGAACACACGAAATTGGCGGCGGGTTTGAGTCACTGTTGACACGCCGATGACGTGCACGAAACTTAGGTCACCTCAAGACGTCGCTGCGGCTAAGTCAGACATGAAGGGAAACAAAGTCTCACTTACCGCAAAACAAAATTCAAGAAAACGCGCGAACTTTACAGACAAAGACATGTAGATACACGTTGCCTTCCTTCTGTTACAACTTAAAAAAGGTGCAGAGGAGAGCAGCCGTAAGTACCACCTTCGCGGGGAGTGGTGGCACACTGGCTCTACACTTTGCCCTCTTGGCCTTTTGCCTACTCCTACCTCGCACACCTTGTCTGTGTAGCGGACCTCCCCAGACTGAGGGGAGTCGCCCCGGAGAGAGGAAAGAGGAGGGAGGAGGAGGAATTGGGTGTGGGGGGGATGACAGGTGGAGGACGGCAGGTAAGAGGGAGGGAGAAAGCGAGGGAAAGCGGTAGGGGGAGAGGGAATGAGGGAGACAGAGGGATGGGCGAAGGTGGTGGGGAAAGGAGAGGGAAGGAAAGAAGGAGAGAGAGAGAGAGAGAGAGAGAGAGAGAGAGAGAGAGAGAGAGAGAGAGAGAGAGAGAGAGAGAGAGAGAGAGAGAGAGAGAGAGAGAGAGAGATTTACATATAAAGTGTGTGTGTGTGTGTGTGTGTGTGTGTGTGTGTGTGTGTGTGTGTGTGTGTGTGTGTGTGTGTGTGTGTGTGTGTGTGTGTAAGCGAGAGAGAGAGAGAGAGAGAGAGAGAGAGAGAGAGAGAGAGAGAGAGAGAGAGAGAGAGAGAGAGAGAGAGAGAGAGAGAGAGAGAGAGAGAGAGAGGATGGGAGGAGGTGTTTTGCTGGTTAAAGGGGAAATTTGCACACAGGTACATCGTTCACGGTGAAGGAGTCAACACACCCTCACACGATCTTCAAGATGACAGTTGCAACTGGCGGTGGGTACGTGAGACGATGAAGGGAAGGGGGAGAAAGAGTAGGAGAAGCAGAGAGAAGATGAAATAGGAGTAGGGAAAGAGAGAAAGAGAGGGAGAGAGAGAGAAGGGGTAGGGCGAAAAAATAGGAATAAGAAGAGGGTAGGAAAGAGAATAAGACGAAGAAAAGAACAAAATGGGAGGAGTAGGAGAGCAAGGATGGGAAAACCGGAAGAGAAGGAGGAGGAAGAAGTAGAAGAGGATGGATATGCAAGAACAGAAGGAAAAGGAGCAAAGAAAAGAGGGTAAGAGAAGATGGGGAAAGAAAGAGGAAGGCGAAAAACGAAAGAGGAAAATGGGAAAGCCTATAAAAATGGAGAAAAAAAGATATAGAGGAAAAGTAAAAAATAAAATGAATATAAAGAAGCTTAAAGAATTGGAAGGTAACACGCTGGAAAAAAAGAAAGTAAAATGAAAGAAGAGAGAAGAAAAGAAAGAAAAGAAGAACGAAGGATGCAGGAAAAGGAAGAGAGAAAAAGAGAGAGAACGAAAGTAGGGGAAGGGGATGGAAAGGCACAGGTATTGGGTCATGAGGCACCGCCATTAGATTATATATGAAGAATGTATGTTGTTTACAGCAAGGGACGGCAGGAGGGGAGAGAGGGGGATGGGGGGGGGGGGCGAGCCCAGCGGCAGAGGTTCCATCTGGTGGGGGAGAGTGGGAGGGGGGGGGAGGTGAGGGGTCAAGGACACCTTCGAGAGGGGAGATGGCCCCGAGCATTGGATCTACACTGTACAGCAAACTGCGCATACATACTTGTATGTATATATGTACACATACACATACACACACACACACACACACACACACACACACACACACACACACACACACACACACACATATATACATATATGTGTGTGTGTGTGTGTGTAGGGAGTGCCAAGGAAGATGATAAGATGTAAAAACAGTAAAAACACTATGACGCGGCCTCATGGTAGACAATAAAAATATTTGTTCAACCTGATAGGAAGGCCGCGGCGTCAGGATGTGCCTAACAGCTGGGAGGGGGGAGGGAGAGGGAAAGGGGGAGGGGGAGATGGGGAAGGTTACAAAGAGGGGGGTAGGGGTTAGAAGGCAGAGAGAAAAAATAAAATCTATGGGTCGGGGAAAAGAGGGATAGGGTAACAAATAAAAAAAAAGAGAGAGAGAAAAAAAATGATATGAATATTGGAGATAAAAAAAAGCAAAAGCAAAGGAAATTCAACCTACAAAAAGAAAAGAAAAGAAAAGAGAGAGACAGATAAGGGAAAAAAATCAGCGAGAACACGCATACAAAATAAGAATAAAAATGGAAAGACGCTTGATAGTAGAGCAACAGAACCCCTCTCCCCCCCCAAACACACACCTCCCCCCCAGAAAAAAAAATAATCCGAGGTCGAGCTAATGACAGCAACAGGAGGCAGCGGCAGCGGTGGCGGCGACGGCGACGCGGGCGGGTGGGCGGTGGGCGGTGGGCGGGGAGGAAAGGTGAGAGGGAGCTTGGTAGATGGACTGAATATTTGATCTTGGCTAAGTGACTTGTCTAATACACCATTCATGTTTGATGGCGACCCCGCCCTGGTCCCTCGCCCTGGGGAACCTTCTGGGGGGTTGGGGGGGGAGAGGCGTCGGTGGGGGGGGGTTGAAGCGGGGGGTTGGGAGGAGAAGAAAGGGGGTTGGGGTGCGGGGAAAAAGAGAAGGAAGGGAGGATGCTAGCCTTTCCTCTCCCCCCCCTCTCTTTCTCTCTCTCTCTCTCTCTCTCTCTCTCTCTCTCTCCCTCCCTCCCTCCCTCCCTCCCTCCCTCCCTCCCTCCCTCCCTCCCTCCCTCCCTCCCTCCCTCCCTCCCTCCCTCCCTCCCTCCCCCCCCCCCTCCCTCCCCCCCTCCCCCCTCTCTCTCTCCCGTGACCTCGCTAACAATATACCTGCCAGATTCTATTTCGCTCTCCCTTCCTCTTGTAACACTGACTTCGGGGATGGGAAAGAGGTGGGTAATTTATCTGATTTACGCTGCTTCTTTTACGGCAAACTTTTTACAGGTCGTTTATTTTTTTAAATCTAAGTTTATCTGCTCTACACACGGACGCACACACAACGCGCGCGCACACTCACACGTACACACACACACACACGCACATATATATATATATACATATATATGTATATGTATGTGTGTGTGAGTATAAATACACACACACACACACAAGCAAGGATATTTTCGCCATTCTCCCCTCCCCCCGCTACCTTCGCCAATGAGCGCCACACAACGAAGCCCCACATGGCGCTGGTACCAAGTTTACGCTGCCCGGCCAAATATCGCGGTGTTTACGTCAATACCGGTCCAACTTTAATAATGACCCCGACCACAAGGCCTCACCGGCTGGGGGAAGGCGGCCTGAGGGCGTCGCTCCGGCGCCTTTTGCGGCTTATGGGGGCGCGGAGGGCGGCGCTGAGGAAGGCGGTCAGGAGTATGGAGGGATATTTATAAATACATACATACATACATACATACACACACACACACACACACACACACACACACACACACACACATACACACACATATATATGTATGTATGTATATATGTATATATGTATGTATGTATGTATATATAGACATATACATACACAGACACATGAGTGCGAAGAGAGAGAAAGAGAGAGAGCGAGACCGAAAGAGCGCAAGAGCGAGATAAGCAGCTTAATCGCAGCATCCGCGTCTCGCCTCCCTTCCGCCTCCTCATCTCCCGCACCTTCAGACGCCCATCCGAGAGCGGCGCCGCATCGTAAGTCACCTGCGCTCGTACATAAAGCTTTCGTCGGCTCCGAGATGCCCCGTCGGCTCCCTGT